GCAGACATAAAGCACAGCTCTGAGCAAGAAAAGGATTATATACACATTCTACATTCCATCTCACCATTTACATTCCCAGAACTATCGCATATTTATCTTCGCTCATCTGGACAGCTTCTGTTGCCTCCTATTTCATATTCATGGCTTCAGTCTTGCTTCTTTTCAGCCAACATTGCCAGTGGAGGTTTATGTAATTAAATTTAGTCATGTTTCTTCTCTCATTAAAGCTTTTGGAGAGTAGTTCTTAAACTTTACTGCATATAGTCATCTGGGTACTGATGATTAGACAGATTCTGCTACATTCCCAGACATACTGGCCTAGGTCTGCTATCTGGCCCAGGAACCTGTATTTCATAAATACCCCTGATGATTCTGAGAAAAGTACTACTTTAGTGGCTCAAAGGCGTGCAAGATAAAATTCAAGAGCTTTAGGTCGTGAATGCTCTCAATGAACCATTTCTTGCTTTCTTCGTCTTGATTGCTTGTGGTTTTTTTTTTTTTTTTTTTTTTTTTTTGTAGTGGGAATCAAACTCAGGACCTTGTGCTTGCCAGGCAGGTGCTGTGCTGCTGAGCTATGCCTCTGCTCCATCACTTTTGGATTTTATCAACTTTTACTTGTGATGTTTTCTACATTTGCCCTTTTTCACATCCTGCTTTCTTCCAAGGTTGCTCATTTGTAGCTCAAGTAGTTCCCTCTCTGAGGTGCTTCCTGGTCACTCACTTGGTACTTTTTCCATTTTATCCTTTTCTTATATTTTGAAATCATCCATTCGTATTTTATCAGTATTCTATGTCATTGTCTCTTAGTTTTGAATTCAAAGCTACAAAAAACATTTTATATGCACCTTTGAATTGTCAGTACCTTGCACAGATACAGGACATAATGGGCATTGTGGTTATTGTGGAAAAAATGAATTAAATTAAATATAGGAATGAGATTCAAAGTCTTTTTTTTAGCTTCCTGTTTATAACTTCACATGTACTATTATGTAGTATACATTTATAAAATTATTTATGTTGCTTAGAGTGTTTAATTATAGTATAGAAAAATTTATATTCTGTGTTCCTTTATAAATCATTGTGTTTAGAGAAATTTCTACAAAAGAGATAGTGATAAGATTACTTGAAGAATTCTGTAAGTAAGTTTTGGAAGTGGAGTCACATGAGATCCTTCTGAAGAATGGGTGCAAGTATGTTTGGACAGCAGGCAGACAAAAGGAACAATATGGCTTTGGAAAGGGCAAGTGGCTTGATTTGACAGTAGAAGTTATAGGGACTGTGGTCAGAGATGAAGCCTGAGAGGTAGGCAGCAGTATATTCTGGAGGATATTTTGTGCTTTGCAAAGAAATCTAGATTTTCTCCTTCCTTTAGTTATAAATTGCTACTGATGCCTTTGAAGCTAGAAAGAACCATAGTCAAATGAGAAGACTTTTAAAAGAAAAGAAAGATCAGTTAAGGGAGTCATTGTAATTTTGTTACAGAAGAGTTGATTAGCAATTTTAATAATTATATAAAATTCTTGCAGTGTTTTTGTGCATTCTGATATTTAAAGTTACAAAAGATCAGTAAGACGTGGTTTAGCTCTGCTTTTGAAATGGTCTCATAGAGTACAGGAAGGCATAAATAACTAAAATGACTAATTATATAAAGTGGCAAGGACATAAGTATGTGACACGCATAATATAAAATGCTATTGAGATCTGGGTCTTATCTGGACTAACTTTCCTTAGGAGCATTGTGTACATTCCATCAACCTTCTTGAGGAATAATTAACAATAAAACCTATGTATTCAAGGTATACCATGTGATGATTTGTATACATTGTGAATGATAGAATTCAGGTCTTGATGGAAGAGAAGAGATTGAAATAGAATTTAGGCAGAGGGATAAATGAAAGGATTTGTATGTAAGGGACCATGGTGATGGTACTAGAGCACATTTGTTAAGCCAGAAAGTAGTTTATCAAAATATAATGGGCCTGCAGGAATTGATTGTGCTGAAGGAATTTATATTTTATCCTCAAGCTTTATTTTGTAATTATGAAAAAATATGCAGTGATGTTTAATTTTAAAAATATATAAACGGAATATTTCATAATTCTATCACAAAAATAAGTACTGTGAATCCTTTTTTGTGCTATATTTCTTTTTTTCTTCCTTTTTTTTCTTAATATTGGGAGTTGAACTGAGGGCCTTGCGCTTGCCAGGCAGGTGCTGTGTTGCTGAGCTACATCCTTGGTCCCTTTGTGTTGTATTTCTTTCCAGTTTCTCTTGATAAATGTGTGTGTGTGTGTGTGTGTGTGTGTGTGTGTGTGTGTGTGTTTTATATATGTATATGTGTTTTTTATATATCTATATGCATTATATATGTATATGTGTTAAATAAGTGAACTTGGAACTAATCCTCTATGTATGTGTGTAATTGATATTTATATCTGGTTTTACCTTGCTTAATATTGGAACATGGACATTTTGCAGTTTGGTTAAATATGCCCAGAAAGCAGAGATTATAATGATCGCAACATTTGTTCTATTATATCGGTATGCTTAAATTATGCCTATCTCATTATTGTTAAATACTTAGGGTTTTTTTTTCCAATTTAAAATAATGGATGTTTCAGGTTCTTACACTTGCTCAGTAGGAAAGGACAATTAGGATGAGGGAAAGGAGAGAAGAAAGAAAGAGGAAGGGGGAAAAATATATATATACACACACACAAGATAGCTAAGATAATTGTACTACTAATTTCTATTGGTTTATTGAAAGGAACAGTTAATGTTTAATTGTTTGATCAATCTTGTATACCTATATCTGGTAATCTGAGCAACTACTTTGAAGATAACAGTATATAATAAACAATCATTGTTAATTTCCTATCTTCTTGTTTTGAAATTCTGTATCATTTTTATTGTTTTTGTGTTGTTTTGTTTTTGTTTTCTTTTTAAAATAAAAAAAAAATTTAAAAATGTATGTTGCTTCACTGAACATCTTTGTATATAAATCCTTGTCTGTGTTTTTGACTACATATTTGGAATAGGACCCTGGAAATAAATACTGGTATACTGGATCAAAGAGTAGTAATCTTAAGGGCTCAAGTGATATTTTTTCAAATTACTCTTCTGAAAGGCTGGTATTTATTTATTTATTTATTTATTGGTTTTTCTCCATTACTGGGAACTGAACTCAGGACCTTGCGCTTGCCAGGCAGGCGCTTTGCTGCTGAGCTAAATCCCCAGCCCAAGGCTGGTATTTAAATTGATGTCTGCAGTATGTGGGTTATTCTTTCACTTGAGCTTTTAGTTTTTACTGTTTGCTAGTTTTATAAAGTTATGTCTTATGGTTATTTTAACTATCATTTCCTAGACAGCTAGTTTGAGCAGGTTTCCCTTCTTTATTGACTCTTTTACTGTGAATTATTTTTCAATTTTATAGGGTTTTTTTTTTCTTTACTTAGGCATTAGTATTTTTCTAATTGGTTTTAAGAAATATTATAACTTCAGTATTATTTCCAGCACATTTTATTCCTATTTCTTACTTGTCTTTAAACTTTTTTAATAGTAGAGATTTAAATTTAAAAATGCTTAGAAAGTACATTCTCAAGATCAGATATTCAGCTATAGTTTGGTTTAGAGTTCAGAATTTTATATTTATAACTTCTCCACAATCCGTGAAAGTAGACTTCTTTGAGTTTTTTTTTTTTTTTGTCGGAAGAGTAGATTTGTGCCTTGGAAAGAAGTCTGTGGTCAGAGGATGTCACCGTTGGAATAAGGCAGTATGAGGACTGGCTTCACCTGCCTTGAGAGGCAAAGATAAAGGTCTGAATTTCTGTAGGGCCAGTGGAGTAAGAAAGAAGAGTGTTACTTCAGGAGATGCCGCAGGTTTTGTGGGAGGGTAGAGAGAAATGCATGTTGAATATGAGGTACTACGGGATATCCAAATACAAGCAACAGGAAGTAGAAGCCTGGAATCCCTTCAGGAGACAAGTCTGCCTGGAAACACTGAGCTGCCTCTTTGTCGATGATAGTGCTAATGTGGGAGGAAGAATCAGTTATCAGGGCTGACGGCTGACGAGAGAGAGAGGGCTCAGACTTAAAAGGCTTACCATGAGGTGTTCAGGATGCTGTAAGGTGGCTTTTTCTTCTTTTCATTTGTTTGTCTAACTACAAAGATTGTGGAGGAAAGGTACTGAAGCATTGCCATTGGATTAGTAAACTGGCTAAAAGGGACAGTAGAGGAGGAAAGAAATAGAGGAACGGCATGGTAAGGATGACACCTTTTATAGGAACTGAAAAAATAAGACTTGAATATGTGCTCTGTTGAAAGAAAGGAATATGTGAAGGCAAAATGGAAAAAGGAAAGATTAGACAGTGCGGCATCTTAAAAGGACCAGCAGTTCTGATAAACAGATTATCCTTTGTGGTTCATTCTCAGAGATAGAATATGCTTTTAAGGTATTGAAACAAATTGTACTCTATCCTATTAGTAAAGGGACTCCTTGCTTCAAAAATAAACTTATCTCCAGCCAGTGAGGTGGCGCACACCTGTAATCCCACACTTGAGGGGCTGAGGTAAGAGGATTGCGGTGAGTTCCAGGGCAGCCTGGGCAACATACTGAGTTCAAGGCAACCGCTACTACAAAGTGAGACCCTGCCTCAAAAAACCAACCAAACAAACAAAAAAACCCCAACAAACTTAGTTATGTAGTTTTTTTTTTAAATTAGTGCCTGTTTGCAGTAATAATGATTACATTAGTTTTGGGGAGTTGGTATACTTAGTTTTTAATTAATTGACAGTTTGATGATTGTCTCAGCATAAAATTTTTCTAATTGTGTAAACATTTTTTATATGCTATTAAGGGCAAAGTTAGTGTGCTACTTTTAGTGATACAAATCTCTAAAAAGACACTCCATAAGCATTTCACTTCTATTTATTGTTTGTTAATGAATGTTAAAATTAAACACTTCTAATTATAACTATCTTTTAAAAATATTTGTTCCAGGGGAATTTACCTAAATATTCTCATAACTCCCTGATGGTTCAAGCAATAAAGACGAACCTAACAGACCCGGACATACATGTGCTTTTCTTTGATGTGGAAGCGTTGATTATTCAACTCCTGACTGAAGAAGCCTCTAGGCCGAATACTGCACTTATTTCCCCAGAGAATTTGCAAAAAGCATCTGGCAGTGCAGACAAAGGGGGCTCTTTTCTAACTGGAAAGCGAGCAGCAGTTCTCTTCCAACAAGTGAAAGAAACTATCAAAGAGAACATAAAGGAACACCTCCTCGACGATGAAGAGGAGGATGAGGAGTTAATGAGGCAGAGAAGAGAAGAAAGTGATCCTGAATATCGGGCCAGCAAATCTAAGCCATTGACCCTATTAGAATATAATTTAACTATGGACACTGCAAAATTATTCATGTCCTGCCTTCACGCCTGGGGTTTGAATGAAGTTCTGGATGAAGTTTGTCTTGATCGCCTTGGAATGCTGAAACCACATTGTACAGTATCGTTTGGCCTTTTATCGAGGGGAGGTCATATGTCACTGATGCTTCCCGGTTATAATCAGGCTGCCTGTAAACTACCACATGGGAAAACAGAAGTAGGAAGGAAGCTGCCTCCCGCTGAGGGAGTAGGAAAAGGAACGTACGGAGTGTCTCGAGCAGTTACCACCCAGCATCTTCTGTCTATTATATCACTGGCAAATACCTTAATGAGTATGACCAATGCCACTTTCATTGGTGATCATATGAAGAAGGGCCCTACCAGGTGTGACCATGATAGTTTGATTTTATTCTTACATTTTAAAAAAAGAGGAAGAAGCCTGTTCTATTTTCATCATTGTTAATTACTTTTTTGGGGAGAGATAGAGCTTTATACATTGTTACCATTTTAGTGTCATTTCAGTTTCCTCTTTAAATTTTATAATGTAGATTTCCAAAAATGCCTGGTGTAAAATGAAGCTATATAATTATGTATATATAGACATATTTAGTGTCTGTTAAAGAATTTAGAACATGAAAGTTGGTCATCTAGACTAGGTCTTGAGCAAATACAATCTTAAAATTATGTTTCCTAGAAATTTCCACTTCAATTCAATTCAAAATGTATGTTTGGTGAAAGTACTTATTCTACTCCATATGCAGTGAATACATGTTCAGTGCTTGGCTTCAGAATTTTGTAAGTATAGTCAGAATTTCTCAAAGGGGAAGAGAAAACAGCATTTTAAAATCCAGAATACTATTTTAATGTTTCAAGAATACTAATGAATACTACTTGCCATTTCCCCAAAGCTATACAGACAACTTCTTGTTGTACTCTGTTGAGAGTTAACTATATAAAGTGTTTATTTTTTGATCTAACAAATATTTACGTAGCACTTACTTTATGTGAGGCTCTGTTGTAAGTACTTCACAAAAACTAGCTCATTAGTGCCCTTACCCATGTAAGGTAGATACTTTTCTTACCCCTTTGTTACAGATAAGAGAACTGAGAGGCAGAGAGGTGAAGTAGCTTGCCAAAGGTCACACAGCTAGTAAGTGATAAAGCCAGACCTCAAACCAAGACAGCTGTCTCTTGGGTCCAAGATTTCTTTAATGTCTTACTGCATTTTTTATAGTTTAGAGCTGAGTACTTTTTAAATCAATGTATTTTTCCATGAATTCATTTGAACCAGTGATAATGGGATAAGCTGAACTCTCAGCATGATAAAATGGAAGCATGGGGGACTAAGAATGATATGCACCTGTCAATAGTAGTTCATTGGAATACTTACATTTTTAAAACTTACAGAAAGTAGAAATTATAGATCAAAAAAATTTACTTGGTCCTTGCTAATCATGTACTTATTTTAGTATATAAAAATATAAAGTGGAATGTAGTGGATACAAAAAAATTATTTTGGAAGAGTAAATTGAAAATGTTCTGCATGTGTTTCTTTGCAATTCATTTGACTCTAGAAAATTCAATATTTTAGTAGTTCTGGAATTTTGAAAATGTGAAAGACTATATACATGTATTTTTTTCTTCTTTTTAAAGGCCACCTAGACCGAGCACCCCAGACCTTTCTAAGGCAAGGGGTTCCCCTCCAACTTCCAGTAATATTGTACAAGGACAGATTAAACAAGGTAAACATGAAATCTTATTGAGTAATTCACATGACATTTCAGCTCTAGAAGTGGAGGAGGCATAGCTAATGTATAATCATAACGTTTTGTTTGTCTCAAATTGTTACAAGACAGAAAAGTTGTTATATTCCAGACGTAAATATGGATAATTAAGATGTCAGTTAAATATAAATCAGATTTATTTAGAAATTGATAAATGGACATATTTCACATAATTTTATTATACTATCTTTGGTCTAATTTTTATGTATTAGGCATACCTTAACTTGACAACATTAGTGTTTTAATTATGTGCATCTTGAGTTTAAAAGTTATACCTTTTTTTAATATATTTAAGAATATTTAAATTCTAAGTTTTATACTGATCTTCTGCCGTCTGCTAGTAGTTTATAAATTGTGATTCTCAAGTGAAATTCTTATTTTTATCTTTTCATTTTATTTAAATCATTATATACCATAACCTTCATTTTTAGTTTTGTTTTTCATTAGGGAATGGGAGAGAAGAAAGATTGAGTTTATTTTTTATTTATTCCTCTAATTTCTTAGTATTATTAATTAATGTACTTAGATATTACTGACTATATCTTTTCTAGTCCTTTAATACTGACGAATGACCTGCAGAGTCATTTCTGCTTAAGGAACTCTCTTTTAGGCCAAGAATTAATACTGACTGTCACAGAATGTGATAGACGCAAAGAAGTCAGCAAGAGATGGGTTGATGAAGATTCTGCTTATAAGTGGTGATACCACTTTTTCCTCTAACGTTTTTATTTTAAGTTTGAAAGAGTCAGAGCATAGCCCTACAAGGTTTGTTAAACAATAGTCTCCTAACTTTATTTATTTTTTTATTTTAAAAACAGTAGTAAATGAGAAACAAAGAAATAGAAAAGTAGCAGCATACCAGTATCACAAACATAAACAAATCAAAGCAAGAACATTCAAAGTGATACAAAGTCTCAAGACAAAATAATACGAATCAACAGTGGTTGTTACATTACATATCACTATCCTCAACTATATTGCTCAGATTACCCGATGTAAGAATGAAAGATTGCTCAAACCAGTATAGGGAATAAGAAAATAATTCTTCGATAAAACAGTAGAGATAATACAGAGTTTCACTAGACAAGATGGTAGGAGTTCACCATTGTAATTCCATTGCATATTGTTACCTTCAAATCCCTTGCTCAGACCACCAGACACAAGCATGCACAATTGATCAGAACATAAAAAATTGTGAGCATTAACTGTTCATTTCAATACACCATCAGACATCAGCAATACAGTCATCACAGCTATTCATATATATATTTATATTTTGCCTTCCTTCTTTCTTTTTTCTTCTTTCTCTCATCTCAGTTGTTCCTTTGAGCAATTTCTTTCCCTTTCCTATCATCTATTGTGTGTTTTGAGTTTAACCTAGTCTTTCAGTTTTCTACATGAAGGAGACAATGTGATGTTTACCCATCTGGGTCCAATTTATTTCACTTATGAGTATGGTCTCTAGTTGCACCCATTTACCTACAAAAGCCTCGAGATCATCTTTTTTAATAGCTGAGTAATACTCCATTGTATAAAAATACCACAACTTTTTTATCCATTCCTCAGAGGATGGGCATCTGGGTTGTTTCCAAGATTGAGCTATAACAAATTGTGCTGCTATAAACATGGGTGCACATATCTTGCTGTGGTATGATGTCTTTAATTCTTCTGGGAAAATACTCAGAAGGGGAATAGCTGGGTTAAATGAGACTTCTAATCCTAGTTTTGTGAGGAATCTCCAAACTGATTTCCACAGTGGTTTCACCAATCTTGGTTTCACCAAGTGGAGTAGGGTTCCTTTCTCCCCACAGCCTCTGCAGCATTTGTTATTGGTTGATTTCTTGATGATAGCCATTCTTTCTGGGGTGAGATGGAATCTCAGTGTTGTTTTAATTTGCATTTCTCGAATGACCAATGACGCTGAACATTTTTTCATGTATTTATTCACCATTAGTATCTCTTCATTAGAGAAGTGTGTTAGTTTCCTAACTTTAAATGTACAACATTCTCATTCCCTAAGACAAATGCTGTTCTCTTTCTCAGCTGATTATTTCTTACTTATCTTAACATCCAGACATGGTGTGTTTGATTTCAGACAAGGTTAGGCACCGGATCGGTTCTCACTGAAGCTCACACTCTCTCTATACTATTTGTATCCTTCATTTCTAATGATCACCCTTCTCATTTCCCTACCCTCTAATTACAGTTATGTAATCAGCACTGTGGGTACAGCTCAGTGGCTGAGTGCTTGCTTAGTATTCATGAAGTATTGTATTCAATGCCCAGTACCATTTCCCCCCTCCACAGAACTACACAATCATTTTATTATACTACTTTCTATTAAACTACATAAAATTTAGTTTTGATAATTTTTATACTTGTGTGTGTGAAATACAATATACATAAAGAAAGTGCACAAAATACAAATCTACAGGTCAGTGATATTTATAAGTTGCGTGCTCGTATAACTCTATTCTTGGACGAGGGCTAGAACATAACTAGCTCTTCAGACGCACCCTACAAGTTCCCTACAAGGCATCATGTCTTCTCCTCCCAAAGGTTACCACAGATTGAACATCTCTAATCTAAAAGTCTAAAATCTGAAATGCTTCAAAATCTGAAACTTTGGTGTGCTAACATGATGCTAGAAAGTGGAAAATTTTAAATCTGACCTTTTACGAAATTACCTGTTTTCTTTTATAGTTATACCACCTATTTAAATCCCTGAACTTTATAGTTTAATTTTGACTGTTTTTTGAGTTCTATGGTAATGCTCTATTCTTTTGTGAGATTTATCAGTGTTGTTGTGTTTGACTCTAGTTATTTATTTTCAGTGGTGTATATTATTCTGTTAAATGGAAAGGTCATAATCATGTTTTTTTTTTTTTTAGTTAAGGATGGTGTTAGCTTTAGATTTTTTTCTAAAAATCCTTTATTCTTTTATCTTTTTGAGAGAGGGTCTCACTATATCGTTCAGGCTGGACTCAAACTTACAGCAATCCTTTTGCCTCAGCCTCCCAAGTGCTGAGGTTACAGGCATGTGCCACCATGCCTGACCTAAAATGCCTTTCGTTACATGAGGGAGTTCTCTTGTGTTCCTACATTGTTGAGTTTTTGTTAGTTTGTTTTAATGAATGGATGTTGGATCTAGGTGCTTTATCTGCATCAATTGAAATGATTATGTGTTTTTTTTCTCTTCATAAGATAAACACAGATTCTTTTTTTATTTTAAAACAGCTTTGCAATAGAGACCTACTTTGTCGTGATGAATTAGCCATTTTAAAGATTGTTGGATCCAGTTTTCTAAAATTTTGTTCATGGTTTTTATATGGGTGTTCATGAGAGATTTTTCTGTGTAGTTTTCATTGCTGGTAACATCTTCGTGCAATTTTTGTAGCAGAATAATGCTGGCCTTATAAAATGATTTCAGCGGTGATCCCTTTTCTTGTATTTTCTGAAAGGGTTTGTGTAGATTGATATTATTTCTTCCTAATTTGGTTGGTCTAAATCACTAGTGAGTGCTTGTAAGCTTTGAGTTTTCCTTAGGGGAAGGTTTGTAACTGTAGACTTAAAATTGTTAAGTATAAGGCTATTCAGCTTATTATAAAATTCTTGAGTTAAACATTGGTAGTTTATGTCTAATATCAAAAAGTTGTAGGGCTTGACATTATCTGTACTTCTCCATTTCTATTATTTATTGTTTATGTTTTTTCTCTTTTCCATATCAGCCTATCTAGTGATTAACAATTTTATGGATCTTCTCAAAGAACTAGCTTTTGGTTTTATTTTTTTGGTCTATAATTTTTCTGTTTTTTATTTCAGTGATTTATGTTTTACTATTTAAATTTTTCTGTATGTAATTTGCTCTTATGTTTTTACTTCCCTAATCCAAAGTGTATAAGCGGAGATCATTGAATTGAGAACTTCTTTTATAATATGAGTATTCAGTGCTATAAATTTCCCTCTGAAATCAGTCATGGTGGCATATGCCTGTAATCCCAGTGTTTGGGAGGCTGAGGTAGAAGGATCGCAGCAAGTTTGAGGCCAGCATGGGCTACATAGTTAGTTCAAGCCCAGCCTGCATTACAAAGTGAGATCTCCCAAAAGCCAAAAAAAAGAAAAAAAAAATCCCTCTGAATATTGCCTTATTTGCATCCCACACATTTTGATATGTTATGCTTATAATTTTTCTTTTGATATTTTACTCCTAGGTAATTTAGTAATGAGCTATTTAAATTTCCAGATATTTGGGGAATTTTTCAAGGATTTATTTGGCTTCCAATTTGTAATCAGATAGGATACTCAGATGGCTTGAATCCTTTGGAATTTTTTCAATTTATTGTATTTCCTTAAAAATAAAGCTTGTATAAATTTATAGTATGTAATGTTTTGATACATATGTACATTGTGGAATTGCCATATTAAGCTAATTGACATACTCATTACTTCAAATATGAATCCTTTTTTTGTGGTGAAAATACTTCAAATCTCTTTGAGCAATTTTCAGGTAATATATATTGTTACTATCTATTATCCCCATGCTGTATTCCCCGTGAATCTTTTAGGGTTTATTGAAACCTGTTTTATAGACCAGATATGGAAATCTTGGTAACTTACACTGTGCATTCAGAAAAAATGTGTTTTTTGCTGTCATTGGGTGGAGTGTTTCATTAAGACAGTCAGGTTAAGTTTTGCCACAGTATTCAGCTTTAATATGTATTTGCTGATTTTTCTGCCTACTTGGTTTTATCAACTTGGTAAGGGAATTGCAATCTGTAGTTATAATCATGAGTTCATTATTTATTTATCTTATTTTACTTTTACAGCTTTTTAAAATGTATTTTGAGCTGGGCGAGATGGGCCACAACTGTAATCTCAGCACTAGGAAGGCTAAGTCAGAAGGATCGCTGTGAGTTTGAGGCCAGCCTGGGCTGCATAGTGAATTCAAGGCCAGCCTG